ATCGTTCTCCGCAGGGATTATTAAATAACTCGTGTCAAACCAAATTCTAATTAATTATTGTAAAAGAGAAATTTGAGAAGTTTGATTTGAAGACCTTAAATTAAAGCGAATTTAACTAATAAAAATAAGGCAATAAGCAAACTTAAAACTCAGGGCAAGAGAAACAATTGTGTTTTTAGAAATCAAATTAAGAAAGCACTAGGGATCCGCCGTCACCTTAACAATCCTATATAGTTCTCCCAATTACTTATGACCTATACATGCATATTTTGAAGGTTAGGTGTTCCTAATATATGCCTACTTGGACCCCCAACATAGACCGTATATCACACATGCAATCCGTCTGTGGTATTCAGATCAAATCTAAACATACATGACTCATTAAGTTCTGTGAAACCTTTTGAAAAACCATGCAACCCTTAAGACGTGGTATTCATCCTAAGTGAACTTGCACATATTAATCACAAGAAGCCTTCGTCAATTTCAGGGACCGACCTCCGACCAAAACTGCATCAAATTACTTTTCTAAACATCCTAATGGTGATCAAGCATCAAGACACTTAGATAGTTTAACCCAGTGATGAATAATTCGAAAACCTGCATGCATATAATCATAAGCAAATTGGACAGAAACTACATATTCTTGCTAAGGCTCGTGGCCTCACCCTAGCAAAAGAGAGTTAGTTACGCATGTTCATAACTAAAACCAAATAAAATATCATTCGAATGAATAAGAATAAAAACACCGTGAAGAAGAAGTTCTTCGAAAATCCTCGCAAAAGTCGCGTTCAAAAGCCAAAAGAGAAGTCCCTAAAATTTCTGTGAAAAATAACTTAAATACCTCCTAAAAACCAGCTACCCAATCCCCACAAGGAAACTAGGTTAAAATAAAATAATACTAGGATATAAAGTCCAAATTGGATTAGGAGAATCTGCCCCCAATCTGCCCAGCCACGTTTTGGCCTCAAATCTGCTCCAAATCCAGCCCAATATAGCTCGTTTTAAAGATAAAAACGTTCTAAACACTTCTCCAGAAGGCCACGAACCCATCTGAGGTCATCTTGGGCTCCAAAACACAATAAAAGCCCAAATCGTCACTATTCCAGCACCGCGCACTGCTCCTTTATTTTATCGCCAGAAAATAACCGCTTGGTAGAAAAGTCTGAAATTTTGATACGATCAAGCCAAGTAACTCACGAACGTCCTCCAACTGGAATTATTCCAAAATTCGTCCATTTGATTATGTTTTGCTCCAGAGAAAGTCGAAAGTCCTATATTGAGAAAACAATTCAAAGTATCAAAATTCTTCCAAAATATGAACCAAAATGTACCAAGAACGGGGTTAAATATATAATATAAAATATACCCATCATCTACCAATGCCAATGAACAAACAAATGGCTACCTTGTACACAAGGGCAATGTTTCAAAAGTTTGAGAAAGAACTAATACA